ACAGCAGATAGTGGTACCTACACAAAGATCTAGGCAGCAGTCCCTACGTTTTTGGTGTATACTTATGCAAACTTTAACAAATATTGTGAAGAATTCTCTAAAATAAGCATTAGTGAAGTCACTTAGTCGTGTCCGACTCTTTGTGACCCCATGGACTACAGCCTGGAGGCTGAAGTCCAGGCTCTTCGGTCCATGGGATTTTCCAGGCAAGAATACTGGAGTGGGTTGCCATTTCCTTCTCCAGGGGATCTTCTCAACCCAGGGACTGAACCCAGGTGTCCCGCATTGTAGACAGATGCTTTACCATCTGAGCCACCAGGGAACATGTAATAAGCATTATGTGTTGGTAACTAAGAACACGAGCTCTAGAGTCTTAGGTATGTGAACGGGATAGTGTCACCAATTGCTAAACAGGTAGTTTGGGACACTGATCTTGGACTTAATTCTTCTTACCCCGATCCCAGCTTTCTCATCTGCAAAGAGGACAGAAAGGACTGAATCAACAAGGGAAGAACTGATAAAAAATGAAAACAGGATGTTTTATAAACCAGTCACACTTTTCATTGCAGTCAGGTTGAAACATAAAGCTGGTTTGTCAGTGATGTTGTGGAAGAGATTCCTGCATTGTATATGAAAAATGTGACTCACATAAAGACGGGAAATACATTCCAAGAGTCTACATGCCTAAAAAAAGAAGTCACTTTATTAAGGAGATTCAAGTCACTAGGTAATACAAATCATTTTCCTATCCTGAAAAACTAGGATTTCTGGGATTCAGACCTAACTATTCCATTTCCACAGACCAAAATAATAATAATAATAATAATTTAATGAAATTGTTGTCAGCTAACTAAATTATAGAATAAATGTTCATTTCATTTAAGAGAGTAAATTATGTACTTTATTTGGCTTGCTTTATCTATGAGCTTCATTTTTCTTATATTTTTCCCCTTAGGTTTCATATATAAGTGAGATCATATAGTATTTGCTTTTCTCTGTCCGACATTTCACTTAGCATAATGCCCTCAAGGTCCATAGGCATTGTTGCAAATGAAAGATTTCATTCTTTTTAAAGATTGAATGATATTCTATTGTGTATTCTTTACCCATCTATCCATCAGCGGACACTTAGGTTGTTTCCTTATCTTGGCTACCAGAAATAATGCTGCAATGAACACTGGGGCAGCATATATCTTTTAAAAAAGAATTAGTGTTTTCATTTTCTTTGGATAAATACCCAGAAGTGGAATTGCTGGATCATATGGTAGTTCTACTTGTAATATTTTGAGGAACCCCTATATTATTTTCCATAATGGCTGCACCAACTTATATTCCTACCACTAGTACATGAGAGTTCGTTTTTCTTTACATCCTCCCCAACCCTTATTACTTCGTCTTTTTGATATTATAATAATAGCCATTCTAACATGTGTGAGGTGATAACTCATTATGGTTTTCATTTGTCTGTCCCTTATGATTAATGATGTAAAGCACCTGTTGGCTCTTGAATATCTTCTTTGGAAAACTATCTATTTGGATCTGTCCATTTTTAAATCTAACTGTTTTGTTATTTTTTGCTGTTGAATTGTATGAGCTCTTTATATATTTAGAACATTAGCCCCTTATCAGATGTAAGATTTACAAATATTTTCTTCCATTCAGTAGGCAGCCTTTTCATTTTGTTAATGCTTTTTGCAGTGCAGAAGCTTTTCAGTTTGATGTAGAACCACTATTTTTGCTTTTACTTTTGGTGTTGGGTTAAAAAATCATTGCCAAGACCTATGTCAAGGAGCTTACCACCTATGTTTTCTTCTAGGAATTTTATGGTTTCAGGTCTTATGTTCAAGTATTTAATCCATTTGGAGTTAATTTTTGTTTATGGCATAAGACAGTGGTTCAGTTTCATTCTTCTGCATTCTAGCTTATGCATTTGCCTACAGTTAATGTGCTATTTTTTTTAGGTCTTCTTTACTTGTGAAAAGCAGGTCAAACAAGAGTCAGCAATTAGTTAAAGAGTATATAGTTCAAAAATAAATAAAGGAGTTTGAACCATATAAGTGATTATACTTATGATAAGAATACATCTTTGTCATAGTCTGTCTCAAAGAATTCAGAGTCTAGAAAAAGAGAAAATGTGATGCAACAAACATATTACATTACAGAGCAATAACTGCAGATGCTACACTAGATAAAATGGAGGTGGTGACCACTGCTGCTGGAAGGACAAAGGAGGAAGTGTTAGGCTATAATATCAAGTAAAGTAGACAAAACATTACTTAGCAATTAAAAGGTCTCTGGCAACCTCTATTAACCAGAGTTAGAGGCAGTTACTTTGCCTTGTGCTGGGAAGTGAATGAGGTGGAGAGCTGTTGTAAAAATCTTTGAGACTGATTAAAGCTATATTCAAGAAATCAAAAACCTGAGCAAATAGGTGAGCATAGTGATCTTCAGATAAATACAAAAGAATATTCAAACTTATGCACTTAAAGGATAGTCTTCAAACAAATTCACATAAATCAATTTGTAATTTAATGAGTTAGTGAAAACAGAAGCTTCCATCACAGTTTCTCCAGATTTGTGGCAAGGGTCAGATTACCATAATCTGCAGACTACCATATACCATTCATCATGAATGCATTTTTAGAAAAATTTCTTTGTAATCATGAGAAAGTAATTCAAACAAATTTTAACACAAATGGCAATCTTCTTCCAATTTTGCAATTCAAAGTCATAAACATTAATAACCAAGATCATCTCTAGTTCTGCTTTGCTCAGGATGTATGATTAAATATTTTTGCACCCAAACCAATGCTATCTTCTAAACTGCTTGTAATTTCCAAAAACCCAAACACTTCAGCACAGAGAAAACAGAAAACAAACCAAAAAAACTAGGTTTTTTTTTTTTCTTTTTAAATTTTAAAGTCATAAGACAATAAAGGAAGCAGTTCCTTAACATTAATGGAAGGTAAGTTTGGAATATCAAAAGTCTCTTCCTTTATTTGGCATTTCGGATTTCTCCATGATTATATTAACAATAAATTATCAAGAACCTAAGTATTTGAAAAGTGTTTAATTCAAAAAGGATAATGGTCATATTTATGCTCCCTTCTAAGAAGAGTGTCTCAAAAATTATGACTGCTTACATGAGAGAAGAAAAGTTTGAAATTTAACCCCATTTCCTATCTTGTTGACACTTTTAAATACAACTTTGTGAAAAAATTCAGAATTACCAAGGATTTTAACTTAAATCTTCTTTAACAACATCCTCGTCAAGTTACTTAATCCAAATTCACTTAAGTAGTTACAAGAATAAATTCTACTTGAGTAACAAAACAAGTCTGTACAGGAGCAGAGTAAGATGTGCACTCTTATTTATTTAAAAGTATTGTGTGCTGAAAAACTTCTTTAGATGTAACATGTTTACGTGTAACTCCGGTGGAGCTGGAGAAAAATACGACTTGCTTAAAAATAAAAGCTTAAAGGAAACGTCTTTCCTAACCACTGCTCATTCCTCAGACAGGTGCAGATGCCTAAAGCCCTCCTTCCATCAAGCCCCCACTCAGAAAAGGTGCCTCCTACACACAATTTATTTCGTTGCTATAACACTTGGTTTCTAAGCCACAAAGGGATTCCTTCTGAGTGGAGAGGATAAAGCATAAGAAAAAGGGAGGGTCCGGCTGTTTCAGCGATTGATCAATTCAGGTTCTCATTTGGAGATCCTGCTTAAACACAGAGATCTGAAACACCCCGTTGTTAGGTGTCACAGGACAAGGCGATCTCTTGGGATACATCAGGCAAGGGACTAAAATTTTAGGGGTTGAAACTACACACGCAGCAGCTCCGGATTCTTATCAAAACAATAGCGAGTGGCACATGTCAGGCGGTCCACATGCTCATGGGGATAAAGAGGAGGCTGGTTAGGGTTGGAGTTGAACTTGTCTTAACCCCCTCCCCCAACTCCCACCGCCGCGCTCCGGGCTACGGCAAAGTGAAAACGAGGGGGCGCCCAGGGCCCGGCTCTCTCCCCCTCCTTTTCCCCCGCCCAGCCCCGACTTCTTCCTCACCCGGTCTCCCGGGGGCGGAGACGCCAAGTTCCCCGGGGCCGGGAGTTAGTCACCAAGAAGAGGCGGTGACAGAGCGCACGGCTCGCTTCGCACACTACAAGGCCTAGCCGCACGGGACCGGAGGCGGCCCGCCGAGGCTCCGGTGTCCCGCGCTCCACGGCCCCCGGCCCGTCGGGGACCCCCCCTTGCTTCCCCGAGTCTCAACTCTGCTCCCACCCCACCCCCGCCCCTACTCGGGGCAGCGCCAACGTCGGGCTCCGCTCCTGACCGAGGGAAACGACGCCCAGCCCCGGCCGTTTCCTGCCCCCGGGGGCGGGGATTCCCTCCCCGGGCCGGGGGACGGCGACTCCGTGCCGCTGACCCGAGAGGGGATCCCCTCGGCCGCCGGGCGGGGATCCCGGAACTGGCCCCGGAGCGCGCGTGTGGCCGCGGCGGGGAGGGGCGAGGCGGGGAGTTTCCGCCGCTCGGCGGCCGGGTGGCAGCCGCGACTAGAAGCGGTCCCCGCAGCCGGCGGGGACCAAAGGCTCCTCCGCCCCGGCCGGCTGTCCCTCACTCGCGCCGCGGCCGCTCGGGCCGCCGGGGGCCCCCGCGCAGTCACCGGGTCGGGCACTGGGGGCCAGAGAAACGCGGGCCCGCAGCCACCCGTCACTTTCGAGTCGCCCCGCCAGAAGCCCGGGGCGAGGAAAAGGAGAGAGACAAAAGGACGCTGGGGAGGGAGTCCCCACGCTCCCTCGCACCCCCCGCGCCCGGCCCGGCCCTTACTCGTAGTGGCGGAAGATCTCGTTGGTGACTTTACAGTAGAAAACTTCCTCGTCGGGCCGCAGGTCCGCGGGCGGCTTCTGTCTCACAAACGGCTTTCGGTGTAGCAGCGGCATCTCGCGTCCGCCCGCGGGCTCACCCGGACCCTCGGCCGCCCGCGCCGGCCCCGCTTCCCTATCAAAATTGGAGGGAAAGGAAAGCCGGTAAGGTAGGGAGCGCTCGGCGGCGGTGGCGGCGTGGGCCGGTCCGCGCGCCGGGGGAAGCTCGGCTGCCTTTTGTGTGATTGCCCCACCGCGGCTGCCACCCGAGTCGAGGTGGCTGCTGTCGCGACCAGGGTAGTGAACCGGCGGAGCCGCCCCACCTCCGCACGCCCGGCTGCCGGCTCACAATGGGGCCGGACGCCCTGCCGCGGGCGGTGCGGGAGCGGCGGCCCCCTCCCCCAGCGCCCGCTCCCTGCCTGCCGCCGCCGCCGCCGCCGCCGCCGCCGGGCTCACAACGTGCTCGGCGCGCAGCCGGCCGGCCCGACGCCGCGAGGGAGTTCGCTGCTGGCGGACCCCGGCGCCGCTCCGCTTTGTTCCCCCGCTCGCCTACACCTCCCTGCCGGCGCCGGCCGGCTACCGAGCGACCACACCGAGTCCCTCACCTGCGAGCACGCCGGCTGCCACTTCTCCACCTTCTCAACTACAAAGGCGGCGAGGGGAGGCTCTGTCCCCCCGGGGGGTCGCTTCTCGCCGGCCCTGCCGCACCGCCGGCCGCCGCTTCTCCCGCTGCCACGGCCTGGCTCCGCGCGGGGGATCGCGTCCCACCGCCACTTCCCCGCCTCTCGGAGCTCCTGGGAAGTTTCTGATCTACTTTCGGCTCTGAAGGAGGAAGAGCTGTTGGGAGGAGCTTTTCACTTCTCGCTTCTACCTTTTTATTGGCTACTCGATGACTTTTACAGCCTGTCACTGATACAGGAAGAGACGGCGGAGAGCCTGGGAGAGCTACATTATTAATTAATGGAGCAACCCCTAGTGAAGAATCAGAAGCATCCTCCATGTTTGCGATTATCAGCCCAAAGATCTGGGGAGAGCGCTGGGGTTTCATAAACACTTGGCTAACAAAGTGAAAGCCTTCCTCTTCAAGTTTGGTACCAGCGCTTGGTTCCACGATGGGAAAAGGATTCCGATTAAGATTTAACTTGTATTTTAAGGATGGGACGAGAGATAAGGAACAAGAAATGAATAACCTTTTGAAATTCTCTTCTTCAGAATTAGAATTCTCATGTCTAAAATAAAATACTTTGCTACTGTAAACATTCATCTCGAAAAGAAGATACTTTTCTTGACAGCCGTGCTCTTTGATACTTAGGATAATTCAAAGATTTAGCAGAAGAAAAGACCAGAAAGAAAGGTATACGGCAGAAAATGAAATCATGCCTGCAGGACGACCCCCACATATTTAAAAACCAGACCTTTAAAAAGTAATGTTTAAAATACGCCGCTGAAAATATATGCAAGGGATCAATACTTAGTTCAATCGCCCAGAATTTCAAAGATTATGAATATACTACTGAAATTTCTCCTAAAACAACTTTCCCATATATATGATTTCCATTTGTGAAATTAATTTTAATGCATATAATACATGTGACTTAATGAATTAAAAAGAATTGTCAAAATGTTTGCCATCTTTGTATTAAATGGTCATTTTTGCTGCTACCCTTGAAATTTGCTTATTTGCAGATTAACATGTAAGAATGGGTCTAAAAGACAGTAAGTCTGAAGAACAGTCATTCAAAAAAGGATGCAGTAATACTATGAAATGATCTCAGTTATAGAAACAATGTGGGATCATCTTTGTATCTTTGGAGCAGAAAATGTTAGAATTCTATCCAAATCTCAAGAGTTACTTTTAAACTTCTTTTAAGATACTTCTATGGTGGCTAGCAAAATAAAACTTTGTGATTCAAAAATCATTAATAAAATTAATGCACCTAGTCTACAGTCGAAGAAGCCTGGAAATGCTCTCAGTAGTAAGTATATTCTTTAGCCTGGATAAAGTCTTCAAAAAATTATGAATGCAAAGATTTGGTGTTTTAAACTGGTCTCCAATTAGTACAGAGTGATAATATAGAATTCCCTACCTATAAAGTAACTTACAAAAGAGACTCCGATGTATAGAACAGACTTGTGGACTCTGGGAGAAGGCGAGGGTGGGATGTTTCAAGAGAACAGCATCGAAACACGTATATTATCTAGGGTGAAACAGATCACCAGCCCAGGTTGGGTGCATGAGACAAGTGCTCGGGCCTGGTGCACTGGGAAGACCCAGAGGGATCGGGTGGAGAGGGAGGTGGGAGGGGGGACCGGGATGGGGGAATACATGTAAATCCATGGCTAATTCATTTCAATGTATGACAAAAACCACTGCAATGATGTAAAGTAATTAGCCTCCAACTAATAAAAATAAATGAAAAAAAAAATTTAAAAAAAAAAAAATAAATAAATAAATAAAAAATAAAGTAACTTACCAGATAAAAATGTTAGAACCCACAAAGATAAACTCAAAATGGGGACAAGGAGAATGGATAATTTTCGACCAATATTGAACTATCACTCTCACAACTCAAAATCCCACCTTAACTGTTAAGCTAAAATTAGATGAAATTTTATCTGATTATATAGTATTTATATTTCTTAGATCTCACTATTTGCTAAGCTAAAATAATCTTGTTAAAATCATGTTCAAAAATAGTAATGTTGATTTTACTTTTATTAAATACAAATTTTTAAACAACTGGATTCTTTATACTAACCTAAAATTAAAACTTTACTCTACTTCAAACTACTACCATCTAATTTTCCCAACTACCATACCCCAATCTCAGTACCATCATAATTCAGTTCTCTGAGTTACATACATAGGATTTACTTTAATTTCTGATATTTAACCATTGTTATACATAGTTATTATTTTAGAACATGTTTAGTAAATTATAATTAACATTCAAAGTTTATTTTTTATATGCTTATATTTGATTAATCGATAGCATGGCTAAGGTACCTCAAAATAACATTTCTCCTAAAATTATCCTACATGTTTACTACTGAAAACTTACCTAATGTATTATTAATTTCATATATTGGTATCATGATCACTTTCTTGCTTCTTTACTACTTGACTTTTGAGAGTGAAAAACTGATTGCTGTATTCAGAAAGTAGTGAAAGGATACTGTCATGAAATAGGACTTTGTGTTTTTTAAAAATTAAAAACATTGTAAAGGAAACTATGAAAGAGTATCACAAAGAAAAAAAGAGAAAACAATGAAATTAAAATTTTATCAATTTAATTCAGTTAAACATTTGTCCTCCATTTATGTGCCAGGACACTGTACTAGCTTATGTAAGGGATACAATATAAGTGTATCCTGACCTCAAAAAATGTATAATCTTGTAGGAAAGAGATGATGTAAGGGCAAATAACTGATACAAGAATTGTGTGAGTCCTAATGACCATGAGTAATATAATGCAAAAAGAGACGTAGGAAAGATTAAAAGAAAATATAGAAGGGGGACCCAGGGTGGGTCCTAAATGAAGTCATTCACAGGGCACGATTTAAACAGCAATAGAAAGCTCATGTTCCAGCATATCCTCTCAAGTCTCAAGATGCAACCCTCCACTCCATTACCCCTCTGGATGAAGAAACCAGTGGCCCCCACTTAAATGTAAAGTGTAAATATACTAGTTAGGCAGGACATATACCAGCCTAATACCATCAAGACTAGTTTAATATTTGAGAAGGTATACTGCCTTGGATAGGTGAAGACAAGACTATGAAATATGTATTTTTTTAAAAGCTTGAGCTAGAATACTTTGCCTGTCTTCTTCTATGATTAAGAAAGGCTTTACTTAGGTGATTTGGTGCGACAGTAATTATCTGGAACTGAAAGAAAGCTTTGGGGACTCTCTTTTTTTTAACACTTTTTAAAAAATTATTTTTATTAAGCTTTAGGAACTCAATTCTCTCATTTTGCAGCTGAAGAAATGGAAGTTCAGGAACTGAAATCTAGGCCTCCTGACTCCTTGTCTAGTCTCTTTAGACATGGATTTGATAACGTTTAATTTTCTGGTATACCCTGCTTGTACTGTATCTATAAATGAGCTAAAATACTATTACAGATCCTTCCTAAACTGCTAAAATGTGTAAGGGGATAAGATATACTACTTGTGATCAGAAACAATAGTTTTTGAGAATTACCCAGAAAAGCAATTGGGGTAATACAAATCTTAAATGTGTCCAATTGAAGAGCTGATAAGGCCTATCTCCATGCTTCAGTAAACACATCTAACAAATATAAACATTTAATGTCCCTTGCTTCTAAGTAGCAGTTATATAAGTATTTAGAGGATAGCTGAGAAAGGTGTCTTATAAATATATACAAGGAATATCTTCAACTTCATAACTCCTTCCTTAGTGTCTCTGACACCTGTCTCAACTCTATGATCTTTTTATGTGCGTGCATGCTTGCTAAGTTGCTTCAGTCATGTCTGACTCTGTGCAACCCTATTAACTGTATTCTGCCAGGCTCCTCTGTCTATGAGATTCTCCAGGCAAGAATACTGGAGTGAACTGCCATGTACTCCTCTAGGGGATCTTGATCTCTTTTTAATGTCTTTATAATTCATGGCAATTTTGCCTATAAAAGATTTTTATATATTGTTCTTTAGAAGCAATGAGTACCCGAAACCATTGGCCTTGTACTAGGATGGAGGTGCTAGACCTTAGCTGCCCAGTGAAATTACCAGAGGGGTTTTTGAAAGATACTGATGCTTGGATCATATCCTAGACTAATTAATACAATCTCTGGGGTAGGGACCCTGGTGTTTGGGGTTTAAAAATCAACTCAAATAAAAAAGAAAATCAACTCATGATTCTAATATACTGCCAAGTTGAGAACTACTAAGAGGAGATTGGATTGTTAATGCTGAAGTAGGAATGCTGGCAATTTTTGAATTCATTTTTTATTCAACCCCTTAAAGATATGAATTATGAGATGGTAAGTAGGAGTTGAAAGAATGTCTGTGGCCATCATCATCATCACAGAAATAGTTTACATTTAATGAATGCTTCCAGCTTGTCAAGCATTGTGCTAAGGGCTTTAAATGAATCATCTCATGCAGTTCTCTCAACAAAGTACTATTTATCATTTCCATTTTACAGATGAAGCCACTGAGGCTCAGAGAGGATAATTAAGTAGCTTGCCCAAGGTCAGATACCCCAGGAGCAGAAAAAATGAAATTATCAACTCTATGGAGTCCAAACTCCTTACTACTACTCTATATTTCCAAGGGACTGATTTTCTAATCTAGCTCAGATATAAATTGAAGCAGGGAAATTGAGCCAATGCACTAAACAATGCATTTAGAACTTGTAATGATCAAGAATGTTTGTTAGAGGAAGCCATGGAGAATTTTTTAAATTATCTCAGAGCAGGGAAAGCCTAAGTATTATAACTCACAGTCCCAAATCCATAAAGATAATTCTGTAAAATAAAAATTAAAAGTCTCTGCATGACAAAGGCTACCACAAAGTTGGAAGACAAATAGCAAACTGGGGAAAGAATTATTTGCAACTCACTGACAAAGGGATGATTTCCCTTATGTATAACTTCCTGTTTTCCTGTCATAATAATAAATCACAATAAGCCAAGATACACAGAAAAAAGAACATAAATGGCTTCTAAAACATATAGAAAGATTCTCCACCTTATCCATATAAGAGAAATGCGAATTAAAACTACACAGAGATGACATTTTTCATCCTTCAGATTTGCAAAGATCACCGTCATATGTTGGTAAGTCTGGGGAAACAGGTACAACCTCTGTAAAGGGCAAATTGGTGATATTTATCCAAAATTACAAATGTACATAAAATCTCCATCTCTAGGAAAATATCCTGTAAGTATATTTGAATATTAGACTCTATTTTGGCTTTGTTAGAAATAGCATAATCTTAAAATTAATGGAAATTTCCATAATTAAACAAAGTATGATGTGTTCATATAATGGAATGGTATGCAGACATAAGAAAGAATGAGAAAAAAAAAGTTCATTAAAATATGCATTTAGTGTATATTAAATGCAGACTTAATGTATATACATATTTGCTTGATACATAAAACACATCTGGAAAGACACTGTAAAATAACACACTGGTTGCCTCTGGGAAAAGAGTTGCTGGGGGACAGGGATCAAAGGGAGATTTTTTCACTTGTAGAAAGTCGAATAAAAATTTTTAAGATACAGAGATTAGATGGTA